ACCTAGTATTATCTACATTGCTTAGTGGCTTTCTACGGGGCTTTCAGAGTTTATTTTATTTCGCGGCGATTTACGCACCGCGGATTCAAACTGTTCTGTGTGGCATTATGAGTGCTTTCGTTTAGGTTCCGTCAACCTGGATTTCCTATCAGGTCATCGCGTTAAAAAGAAGAGGACAGTAGCTCTGACGTTCGCACGAAGGTAAAGACGGTTCGGTCTGTTGAACGAATGTACGTCCTCAATAGTCCTGCCTCTTCGACCTTAACAGGACAGACTGCAAAGGCGGCGGACACAGGAAGTTCTGAACAAAGGACTACGCCAGCCATATTTGTAGAGGGTTAATAATCATATTTGCGTACCTACGTAGTCAGAGTATTAACTGGGATGTTCGTTTGGATCTAGTGTAGGTATATTTACTATGAGTATTGGTATAAAACTACATTAATCATGTTACTACTGTGACACTCTATTTATGTAAGCGAATTAGTGTTTGATGCAACTAGAAAATGAGATTCTTATTAATTAATACATACTATGTCTGAATATATATGAAGTTTCTGCTACTTGTCTGTTTTTCCGTAATTTGCCCCGCACCGAAATACTGAAGCGGTTGACGAAATACGATTGCCACTTCGGCGGGAACAACGCCAAAATGCCTTCCCACAATTTAAAATCAGATATATATATATATAGACATCCGCTAAGGCCGTAGTTAGCGTGATGAATAAATAACAAGTTGTTTCGAATTAAGAACGACTAGTTGCACCTCAAGATGTTTTAAATCAGAAGCCCTTCATGTCATTACCATTTATATATAGCATTTGCACTGCGGGCAAAATTGGCCGTATCTGATATCTAAGGATATTGAACAAAAAGACAGTCATTTAGGAAAACTACTTGAGAAAGCGATCACGGCTTAGACTGGTTAACGTCGCATTCCCTAATCAAGAATAGACGGACGTGCCTGTTTGAAACAAAGGAAAATTGCATCACTTACATTTTGAAACTTCATTAGGCCCAGCCAAGTTAATCGCGATCGTATTTTGAAGTTAGCGGCCTACTCTCGTCACCACGTTGAGCCCTGTTAGCGAAAATATTACACCATGAACGGTTTCCAGTGGGTCAAATGTAGATGTCTTTTTATTCTGGACTTGTGATGCATTTGCTGGGTACGACCCTCGAATTGGTATTGCCGTTTAGTGAAATGTGGAACACTTATATTGCTTATTAATTAACAGCATATGCAACGAAAGTAATGGTTGTACTGATCGTTATAGTAATTTCTCTAGAAAAGAAGTTTCTGTTCACTTCGGTTTCTCAATAAAATGTGTGTTATCAATGAATTTTGTTAGATTCGATAAAATTATAAGCTCTGTCTAACAGGCGAGCCAGGGTAGACTGAACGGCATCTTTTACCCGTAACCTCTAAAAGGAGGTGATCTTGTTCATTTGTGGTGGACTAAGGACTGAACAGTTCTCAGATCGTCTAAGCTTTAATTAGCGCTGATGGTACAAGTTATACTTGTATCGGTAATGAGTTCATCTCAAGCGGGAGCGGGTGTCAGCCCCGTTTGATTACCGCCTTAAGCTAGTGGCCGGTTTAGGAAAATTATCATGAAACCATTATACATTGGCATACACAAACCGAAAAACTAAAAATTCGCCTACACGAGCCTAATATTTAGTGCCTATGGTGTAGATTAGCAGATCGTATTGAAATAGAGCGTTTATGGTCACACTATCGCACCGCGCATAACCTTGGTCCAAGTTTATATTACGTATTTTTCGTCAACGGGTCTTGTCTTGCTGAAGTTGGTTGGCCGTATATTGAAGCTAAGTTGGAAGTTCTGAAATGTACCTGAGATTTCGCGAATTTCTCGGTTAAAAGCCGACGTGCAGTAATGTTCCCGCGGGATTATACTTTAATTTTCCTGATACGATCCCTGTTTGTGTATTGCGGATCTAGGAACTCGATGTGTGCTATATAAAACCCTACACTAAATACAAAAAAAAAGAAACAAGCAGAAGTATAAAAAATAATTGGTATAATTCCGACAATGAGACCAACAGACTGTGCCTCATAGAAAACACTTCAAATAAATTACCTACCGGGTTTTTTTTAGTTGGACTAAAACTATCCCTGGCTGGTTAGTTGCTTCAGTCCACGTTTTTAGTTTTACTAACTGCCAGATACTTTGACTATGTATTCAACGTATTCTAGAAGAATATAGGCATCTCCCTAGAGTTGGAGTCAATGATTTTCGCTGTACTGTATAGCGATTTTGATGTGTCTTAAGTAACCAATGCAGTTTTGAAAAGCGCGGGTCTTACTCTTGTCGGCACGATTTACTCTTTTACTAGCGAGACTATTTTCTAATACGTAGATTACAAAGAAACCACATAGCAAATAATAATTGCTACAGTGCGTTCTCGCTCAGCTCCGATTCCAGTCAGCTGCATTTTGGTTGTCCTTAAGTAAAAAAGATGAACATTTCAGATGATTAAGTGATCCTCGTTGTATTTTGCGAAGCTCGCGCAATGAGTATGATGGTGTTTTTTTGCCGCCATTCCAAAATGCAGAATATAACGGGTTACAGATTTTTCAGTTCCTAACGCGTATTATGTATCTTAATCGTGCGTATCCTAAAAATAGGACGCATCAACACATGTATGCGACTCGTAGGAAAATGATCGTTTAACTTTCATGAAGCAAGGATAAAATTCGGAAGTCAACTGGCCAGATTCACACGAATGTTTCAGCATCCTCAATGTGTACAAATCATGGTGATAAAGTTTTGAATTCGGGAAGCAATCATCGTATTATAGTGAGAGGATCTCTACATCCGATTGCATTTCTGTAAAAAAAAGTACATCATTAGTCCTTATTACCTTTGATTGTTTTTACTATTTGTAATTATATTTGTCGACACCTTTTGATAATTAACTACGACTAAACCAATAAAATCTATTCTTGAATGTCCGGTGTGCTCCCCAAGTGAACTTTTCAACCGAGCTACCCCATTTGGACTTCCCGGTTGTACTCTCGTTAAAACGATGTGTTCGACTGGGAGCAAAGCTAAGCTAAGTAAGTCAACTTACCTTTGGCCACAGAAGCCTATCTGGTCTCCATTTGGATACAGCCACCGCAGAGTGGAGTGTGCTATGTGCAATTTCTGTTGTATTCCATACAGTAATATGGTTTCGACGGTGTTCGTCAGAACTTTATTGTTAGTGCTACTTTCTGGATTCTATGAGATTCTTGCAATGGGTATGTAATTTACCGTTCTGTGTAGATTCACCACTGCAATGATTCTATTTTTGACTATATCTTCTCGGATTTTAACAATTTGATCTGACTTCCGTCCACTTTCCGACTATATGAAGAACCTGTAAAGCTGGAACCACTTTTTGATCGGCGGGTAAAAATTGGACGTGTTGTGGCATCCACATGTACTCTATACGAAGGAGATCATGTCCAGTTCTCGTGGAGTAAGGATGGAAATCTGTTGAAGTCAGCTGGTAGAATTCATATCGTAAATACTCCAGCATCTTCGACCCTTACGATTCACGGCGTAAAATCTTCTGACTCAGGAAGCTATACCTGTATAGGAAGTAACTCCGTATCCGAAGAACGGGTGTCTGCGGGATTAGTTGTGGAAGGTGATTTCCCAAAAATCTAACTGTAAAAATACACAAGACTATGATCACTCATGCGGCGTTTTTCCGTTCCTGTTGATCTTATAATAATAATAATAATTATTATTATTATTACTTAAAGCATTATGTTCATGACATGAACGAATACTAGTTTGTTACTTGCTTGAATACCGGCGTTTTGGTTATAGGCGACTGTATTAGCCATTATTTTCATTGACAAACTTTAGTCACATCAATAGCGTTAATTGGATTGCGTTACGGGTGTTTGAGACCTCGGTGTTTTAATGCTGTAACAGTTCGATGTGTTTCTTTGAAGATGTCGCCACCGTCGAGTATACATTTTGTGGATGTTAAAATATTGTGCATCTATTCAGCTATATAATCAAATACAAGTTTGATCATTGATTTTCCAGAAGTCTTAATTTATCAAAACAGAAAGGATCGCTTTATTAATAGAACATTTTTGATTTGTGTACAGTATTACGGATCCTATAGGAAATTGATTCGATTTTTCTATCTTAATTACCTATCTTACAAGTAATTACATGTATTACATCTTTGACCAGACTTCTTTTCGCTTAACGCTATCCATGTAGAGTAAACGGATTACAAGTCAATTACTTGTAGAAAGTCAATAGATAAAAATTTTTGACTCTATAATTTTATGCTTGCTACATCGAAGTTCAGTACAATTAAGCAAGCCAACTATATTCTGTTTTGTACTGACAGCGTGTTTGCATAAATGCATTTTAAAATTCGCGCTTCTAGTCTCGTTACGATAGCTTGCTTGCTTGGCAAAGAGGCTTTCTTGAGTGGAGACACCGATGGGGTCCTAAGAAGCTCCAAAGTTCAGTTATTTCGCTTATATCGCTGTGAGTTGTTGTAACGGAGTGTAAGTTTTGGGTGTATGCGACATTAATACCACAGTCATTTAGTTATAACAGCATCCGCGACATGGATTTAAACGTGTTTTCTGGAACTTTATTATGTGTGATATTTCTAGGATTTTGTGAAATTCATGCAATGGGTATGTTGATCATGTTAGAAATCCTATGATGAAGCGGGTATCTCTTATAGCCAGCGTCGCGCTAAGACCTAACGAATGCCCTTACTTTGATTGCAATATAATAAAGGTTCATTTAAGCTGGAGCAACTTGCTGATCGGCGGGTAAAAATCGGCCGTGTCGCAGCGTATACATGTACCATGTTTGAGGGTGACGATATCCTCTTTTCATGGACTAAAGACGGAACGCTGCTACAATCCTTAGGCAGAATTCATATCGTGAATACTCCGGTGTCTTCGACACTTTTAATACGCAACGTAGAGCCATCTGATTCCGGGAGTTACACCTGCATAGGAAGCAACTCATTATTTGAGCAACGGGTATCTGCGAGATTGATTGTAGAAGGTGACTACCTGTAACCAAACAAGAGAAGATTGCATAGACAAAATTTTTATTAATAATATAAGATGTCCCTTTCCTTATTAGATATTCGACGTTTTACGTAATAATCTATAATCCAGTTATTGCTATAAGAATATGACAGGACATTGAATAGGAAGAATAAATACATTTATAGTTTCTGCTTAAATTTTTAAGCGTTTTTGGTAATTATGACCTTGCATTGGATTCGTTGAAGGTAAAGGTGACAGTCAGAAGGCATAGATACGACCGTTAGTATTAGAAACTATAACGATTTCATATCCACTTCTAAGATTGCATAATTTCTACGATCTACGAACTGCCAAGTTTAAACCTGCACTGTAGCCTTGTTATCGCAAGGTAAATGTATGGGAACGAGACTGCACCAACGTCAGTCTGCTAAGCGTTAAACACAATGTTCGATCTAGACTGACTGTGTTTTACGTGAAACGGGAAAAAAATATGTCGTATCTTAAGTTTACTCTGTGCGTGGTAATTCTGCTCGTTTCATTGCTTCCTGCTATTCGTGGAATGGGTATGTGTAACTAGCATTGGATGATTACCCAATTTCACATTATTTCATTAGAAATTTACAAGTCTATGAGATCCAAGGTGAATATTGCTACATACTAATTTTGTTTAGATGCAGTCCAGTTGGAGCCCCTCGTAAACAAAGAAGTTCGCGTGGGTCGGGTAGCCGCATTTTTGTGCACTCTCTATCAGGGAGATAAAGTTCAATTTACCTGGAGCAAAGATGGAACATTGTTGCGATCATCTGGACGAATCCAGATCCATAGTACTGCTGCATCGTCAATGATCACGATACAGCGCGTTGACCCATACGATGCGGGGAATTACACATGCATTGGAAGTAATTCTTTGTCTGAGGAACGAACTTCTGCTCACCTTATTGTAGAAGGTATATTCCATTTTAAACCCATTTTTGGGTAGCAGACCGCAACCTGTATATACATTTATATTATGTAATAAAATGCACGGTTAGAAAGTATGACACAAAAGAAATTATGTTAACTGTTTAAACAGTAATTGTCAAAATGTATAACACAACTATCAGCTAGTGTTATTTACAAATATTGAAGGGAAGATAATATTACTATATGAACATGTAAGGACTCTGATAAGGATTTTTTTTATTCGTCTGAAGTGTCCTTAAGCACATATGCAAATCTGTTACTTATCTTTGACGTTTCTATACGTCTATACTATAGTAGACGTCACCAGTGTAACTAGCATACGTATAATTATATAATAGATTTTTCCATTTGAAGAAATCGCAGAGGGTGTCACCACGTTATTTATGAACTGAATACAAACAGTACACACTCGTAAGATATTTTAAAAGCTAATGAAGGAACACTGTTTTTTATATATAAATGTCTGTTGTCTTTTGTTAAAACTTTTGCAGTAAAGATAGTCTCTCAGGAAGTAAATGTCAAGCATGTATATTACACGGGTAAACAGCTCAATATACCTAAGTATACTTTCTTTAAAAAAAGTATTATTGGCACATCTGTTTACTACAATAAGTAATTTTAAAATTTGAACTTCATTGTTCATTTATTTTCTTCCCTGGAAGTTAAACAGTAAACTCATACATAAATAATACTCAACACGTGCAGGGTATAATATAATGCACTGCACTGCAGTGTTTTCTTGATAAGCTAAGTGGGCTCTACAACCACGGTTCAATGTAACGTATCAGCTACCTGTATCCAAAAATGAACCATAAAGGTTATCTACAGTACTAAATATCTGCACGAATGTTGTATCGAGTCTGATACGAATACTTTTTATAAATTATTTTTATTTATACGTATATATTTAATATCACGTTGAAGTCTTCCAAAGTAGGACATAGGTCTTCACTATATGCTTGGTACGAATCTAAGAATAGATAACAGAATTCTTTAACGAGCGTCAGGTCGAACCTACCTACCTACCTACCTACCTACCTACCTACCTATTTCGATTGTGTTAATTAGCTAAATTTAGAAAATTATTTTTCAAAAGTATGCTTATTATGGTGTATGTTCCGCGAGAACAAACCGTACAAATTTTAAATTTCGCGCGCTATCCTGACGAGCACTTTTTGCTCTCCTGGCAATGAGAGTATTTTGCAGTGTTCGTCCTGACAAAGGAACATCGTTCTAAGGCGAAAAGCGTCATTTCTAGCTCATCGTCATATTAATAGTAGTAAGTTGTTTGTTGTTGAGTGAAGGATATACGTTTCAAACATAATGTGGTTATTGCAATGGTTTGCCCTGTACGTGCTAATAACAGGATCTATCCAATCACTAAGTTACGCATTGGGTACGTTGATTATGTACTTCTAGTAGTTACGGGGTATCGCGGGTTCGTGTAAGAAATTCAATGATACCCCATATATTACTTGTTTTATAGATAAGTTAACTTGGCGTTAACTCACTCAGGTCGATATTTGTAAAATCTATATACCTATTTATTATAAAAATATCTATTACTCGATATTTTCTCAGATCCGATTAAATTGGAACCGTTGTTTGACAAACGAGCCAAGGTAGGCCGAGTGGTCGCGATTGTGTGTACGCTCTACGAAGGCGAAGATGCTCAGTTTTCTTGGAGCAAAGATGGTAGCATTTTACGCTCTTCTGGGCGTATTCAAATTCAAAATACAGCAGAGACTTCAACCCTGAGCATTCGCAATCTTCGTACTTCTGATGGAGGCAACTACACCTGCATTGGCAGTAATCCAGTATCTGAGGAGAGAATCTCGTCCCAATTAATAGTGGAAGGTAGAATATCAATTCAATGCTGATAGTAGGACCAACGTTTTCGTAATTTCATTATGGTTCTTGCAGGACCGGGAGTGCGATATATTTACTTCTATTCGTTAACAATGACGATAATCACATTGTAGTGTTATTACCAACAAATTATAACAAAACAGATTCTCAAACTAAATCTTCTTTTTAATGATGTTTCTAGTCGTAGTCGTCGACATTCCATGGGTGGCTTATACTTTGAAAGATACGAATTAGAACTACAGCTACGCTTTAAAGTAGGGTTTATTGTTGCCTAACTTGGGCAATTGTTCCTGTAAGATTGTCTCCTAAGCCAATACTGTATGTGCTGTATCGGCCAGATTGGCTGCGATTATTAACAATATTTGACGTTGTAAAAAATCCCAAGAAATTTAAACGTATTTTCCATTTTCACACAGTCTATACAGCAAATATGACCTGCATAGAAACTTTGAATGGGAAATGGAGTTAAATGGAATCTATAAACTTAGTAGTACTGTTATTGTTGTAAGCTGACTAAAGCGTTCAGGTTACTGGCAGTTTATTCAAATGGGCCGCCATAATCTTGTCCTGTTTGTTCCCATACATGGGCACTGGGCTACGCCGCAAATGCGGTGCTTACAAAGCCGTCTACGAGCTACATCCTTTCGTTGGACAGTGGTCGAATCAATGTTTACCATGAGCGGATATCACGGTTCAAATAGTCATATCTGCTTTTCGTCACTGTTAATTTTATGTGTGATGCTACGTCGCGCAAACTCTGCGGGTGAGTACTACATGCGAATATTCAATATCCCTCCAACAGAAGATAGCAATTGCTGCTAATAGCTAGCATTAGACCTTTTACAAGATGTAGTTGTGCTTTGACGTTGGTCCTCGTTAGTCTGTCTGTTTCTTTAGAATAAAGTAGTGAGATTTTCAGAACGTGTCAAGCTCGAGGCAATAGCATCAAAACACGGGACGTTAGGTCGTCCAGTTAAATTCATCTGCTCTCAATTTGAGGGAGATAATGTGAGCTTTGCTTGGAGCCGTGATGGACGAGTACTTTTATCGGATGATCGTTTGACCATTACCAATACAGCCGATTCTTCCACGCTAAAAATATACAGTGCCCGACAGTCCGATTCGGGAAAATATACTTGTATTGGGTCAAACGAATTTTCAGAGGATAGATCCAGCACTATTCTCACTGTTGAAGGTGTGCATACTTAGTCACTCCCCTAAGGAGGAATAGTCATATAACTGTAGTACGTATTAACCGTATAAACATCTAAATTACAATGTTTGTCAGTGCAAATGTATGAAATAATGCATTCTGGGTATTTTTAATGCTATATATATATATACAAGCTTATATATTGGAAGTTATAACAAAAATATTCCCCAATTCCCAATTAAAGGTACGAGATTTTTTAAACAGAATGTGGGTTACTCTTACATTGCGTTTAGGCTTGTGGAGCTAATTTTCATTGCGTATGCCACGAAAAGCATTATTGCCGAACGGTTAATACGTTCATGGTGGGCTCATCAACAATTTTGCTTTTGCCCACGTGCGCATGATGTGACAAGGAGCAAACGATAGGTTTGAGTAGGAGTGGTACTCTACATCTAATTATATATCGATTATTTATCTATTTATTTTTAAGCAAGAAGTAAATACAGACAAAATATCCTAACGTTCCGAGGTAATTAACGTTATATTGTAAATGCGTCAGTTGTCTATTGAGTTGGAACTAACGAGTCGAATGTATCGAGGAACGTCAGACAAAAACAATTGAATCGTCCGATGAAAGTAGCCACTTTAGGCTAGAAGCAGTTTATTATTATTATTTAGAAAATATGTACGCAGCTTCCTTTAAAAATAGTCAGGTGGCTTTTCGCTCGAAGTGAGTTTCTGATACACTTATTCGAAATGGTAAATGACTGAGTACCGACAAGACGTCACCAGTAAGCGTTCGTGCTTCATTGAAGCTGGCGGGCGACTCTTGTTCGAATATGTCATAGCCCTGCGAACGAGAGTATGCGATGAGGCTCTCCCGCAGCGTCGTGGCTCGAAACAGTTCAGAGAAAATTACAAAGTCAAATAAGCGCGCTTGTGCCTCATACACCATGTATAATCTCGATAAATATAATCACTATGTACTTGTGTGTACAGCAATAAACTGGATTACTTTGGCAATGGGCAACTCTACATACGCAATGGGTGAGTTTCTTTAAGGTAATTCATTAACCGAAAGCCGAGTTGGGTTGTGGTTAACGATCGAACGTCTACTAGCACGCTACAATGGCGCACGCTACAATCCGTTTGGCTCTATGTTAACTGCATATCTTGTTGCTTAGAATCCGTTCGTTTGGAGCCACTTCCCGCGAGGCGTGTGAAGGCCGGGAAAGCGGTAACATTTACGTGCTCGCTATACGAAGGCGACAATGTCAGCTTTTTCTGGAGTAAAAATGGGGTAATCCTGAAAACAGGCGATCGCATCGATATCTCCGCCACAAGATACTCGGCGACGTTGTCGATTAGAGGTGTAAAGCCAAGTGATGCTGGCGACTATCTCTGCGTGGGACGAAATGCCGTCTCGGAAGAAAAAGCAACAGCTAAACTTCAAGTCGAAGGTGCTTATTTAACGAAAGCTAGAAAAGATTTCTCGATTATATGCGTTCTTTTTAAAGGCTGATAAATTTACCTTGAACAGAATAGGCAACCTTAATAGCCGTGTAGGTTAACCTAACCGAGTATCCACATTAATATTTCACTTATACTGTTGCCGATTCGTTTGTTAAGGTACAAGACTTCGAACACACGGCTTGGTGACCAATCCTGAAAATCTGACAACACGCTTAACAGATAACAAAGAAAATCACTGTCGATTATAGAAACCTTGTCATATGGGATCCGACTCTGTTTGATCTTCGTTTTTCTTGATCGTATGATAATGACATATCGCCCCGAAACACAACTTTATTTTCATTGTACAGTTGACTCTGCCATGCATAAGGACTCCATACAACTCTGGCGGACACTGTGCTAAGTTTATTCCGACAAAGATAGATAATTACATTAGTTACCTAACTAAATACTCGTCAGCAAAACTAGGCTCCGAAATAAGGCAGTATTTGGTAGGTAGGCATAGTGCATCAAGGCGATGTTGGGTCTTCTGTTTTCCTAACAAGTATGAAATGCTGGTAAAATTTGATTGGTTAGTGTCGATATCCAGACGTCGTGTATCGTTCGTGTGACGGGTATCAGAAAAATGATGACGTTTTTCGTGAACGAGAACTTTTAAAACCTTCGAATCTACCGTCGTTGTATCGTCGAAAGATGCTTTCAATGTTCGACCATCAGACGCTGGCAATTGTACGTGCGAAGCACGAAACAAATTTTCCGGCGAAAAAAAATGCACGAGCTTTTTTTTTTACTAGTTATTACTATTTAGCTAAATTTAATTTAACATAAAAGACCTGCTACTATGACGATTACTGGTCTATATTCTTCCTTTTTCGTTCGTTCGTTCTCTACAGTCAAATTATGTTGTACCAATGCATCGTCGTGTTCACTCAGGCAGGGAGATAAAAACACCTTCTAGATGAAATCTCAGCGGGCTCTCATTGAACCGGCTGAATTATGTGAATAGATAAATATCGCAAATGAATATAAACCTAGAGGCCAAATTACTATTCTTAGTGGTGGTTCCTATATCAACGTTAGGTCCGCCAGTAATTATTGGCGCTCACTTTTTGGTGTCACCTCGCCATTGGTCACAGTTACACAAACAATCTGTAGGCCTGTATCTAATAATATCGACGAGTGCTGCCCGTACCAAACTTGTTTCGTATTCGTGAACGTATTCGGCAAAAAAAAATAGCTAGAGTGATTTCCCACTTGTCCTGAATTGATAAATCAGATTAACTTGTGACGTCAAACATTTTTACACGTCCCCATGTACACTTGAAGGATTTCGATCTTCCTCAAACCTCTCGTTGTTCTTAGAATATTTTGTCAAATTTAGCCATTGCCCAAAGTTTTTTCGCACACAGTATGGAATTATATATATGCATATGTGTGCGAAATAGATATGCTATGAGACTGACCAGTCACACTTCGGCGTCTCGTCAAAGTAAATCACTCGGTGACTAAACATTTTTTCGCTGGCACGTAACAGGCGTAAAAAAATGACGTTCAGTATACGAGCTGCGTGCTTGGAGAATGGCGTCAATATTCCCGTATTAGGTGTATTTTACGTTGGGAACGCGGACGTAGCCGCCCGCATGAGTGGTTCAAAAACTGCAACTATTCATAATAGCGGCCAAAACTTTTGTATGATGAGACGTGTAGCCATCAATTGTGCCCGTGCAATACAGCGGCTTCGGATCCTGACTTGCACTCAGTCAAGTCAATGTGGTTCAGCGTCGGCGTTTCCAAGGGAGCTTCGTGTAAATTAGAGTAGCTTGCAGTTGGCTATTGCTTTGTCAGCAAGATATGCGCCTCCTTCCTATGGTGCTCTCTACTAAAACAATTACTTTGCATGATGGAAAATTTACTATTAATATGCCATTAAAAAACTAAAGCATCAATGTGTTCGATATAGTACTTTAAATTCGTAGAAATAATTTAAATCTGTTTTAAAAGGCAGTTGTTTTCATTTAATTGTTCCGAAGGGATGAATCTGTTGATGGGCTAACGAGCAGAAGTTCAAGTTCTGGCAATAGATTCGCAACTGTTGCCAGTAGAAAGACTTCAGAACAAGGCGACGCTGAGAATCAGGTGTTGGCGGTGATTCTCTCTGAAAAGATAGGATTTCCACATAAGTAATAGCGGAATCTATTAAGTGTGCGCAGGAAGTGCCAGCCTGAATGGATGCCGTTTCTATATAAAAACTATTAAGGATTGAGTCGAGCTACAATTATAACGGTATTATCTCGACGGTTACAGTCTGTGGCTGACCATGCCAACCTACAATCATTTTCCGATAATAAAAATGATTTAAAATCATTATTTCTGCGTTGATCTACAAAGTTTGACGCGTAAAAACAAACAATTTAGTCGTAAAATACGATTATCACAAACCCGTACTTTGTTATTGTCGTAACTTCAATTAGCTTATAAAGAATTACACAAGTTGAGCCGTATTGTTCGATTAGCCGACTTAACGCTGACTTGTCAAGACGAACACAAAACTGACCTCTACTTACGACAGACGTAGGGCCCCTTATGTATCTCTGGGTTAAGCTATTGTCACTCTCGTAGATATTTGTCATTGTTCTACTGCACTTCAGATCGATCGTTTAGCTGAATGGCCATTATGCGATGTCGGTGATAGCTTGTGATGATGTGTGAGGAAACAAATTATGGTCCATTAGGCTTCATTAGAGCTTATTTCGAGTGTTGATTAAGATGTTACGTACAGTATGTCTAGGATACGGCGTGCCGCATGATTCTGTTGTGTATTATAAATGATGCCTCTTCAAGTCTATCTGCACACATTCGTGTGACCATTTTCAACCGCCATATAGCTGTATGGCTGTGATAATGTTGCTCTGGACATCTAACGATCATCTTTTATAATACAAGCAAGTAGCTCGTATTCGATGTCGCTGCGTGTCACTTGCAATGTAAGCAGGTCTCGAGAAATTTCAGGCAGACGATCTGGATGGAAAGAACGCAATTGCAAACCACTGGGTTTGTACGGCGCGCATCAGCTGATCTTGCTAAAGCCGCTTATGTGAGGCTTCTCAATGGCCTCTATCTTTTTTGTTTAACGCCCAGTCATAGAACTTCCGGTGAAAAGCTGAACAGCTTGCATTGGTTTCCTGAATGTCCATGTCGCATAAATGTGAGTAAAGGTACGGCAAAACTTTTTAGTAAGAAAATTTCATAACAGTAAAGTAAACAGTAATTAGAAATAGCAAGAAATATGCCACTTTAGAGCCAAAACGATTCCGCTTGCGCGCCATAACTATGTACGCTGACAGAAGCCGATGTCGAGAGTAATTAAATCAGTAATTGAGTTTCAAAGTGACGAAGTTCTCTTTAAGTGTAGAAAAGCTCCTATATACAACGGCGGTATGTTTTTGCAGGACTACCTTGTGGCTGGACTTATAAGACTATGCCAGTGGAAAAATGTGCTTTGGATTTGTGAAAGCCTGGGGTTTACTGAATATCCGAAGCGAGTGACGCATCGATCAAGTAAACAGGAACAAACAACAGCTCTGATCACCTACAATTTTGAAAGCAGTCATTTGCCATACTTTGATCTCAAGATGTGGCTAAAGGCGTGTGCGCGTGGACTTCTCCAATTGGCGCTTGAAACAAAATTTGGTCTCGTTGGAGTAGTACTTGTTACGGTCGTTGGTGTATATCGTATCTACAAACGTAGGCAGCTTGAGAAATGCAAATTGTTTCGTGGAAACAGCCGAGAACGACAGCAAGAGCCCTATACAGACACGTTACCGAGACAAGCGCCAACGAAGGTTTGGCGTGAAGTCACTCATGAAGAGGAGGCTACTACATCGAGTGACATCGAGGAAAGCAAGCTTTTATCAGCGTCAACACCGCAAAAGTGCCCTTTTGAATCAGTTCCCACGCCTGACTTTTTCAATCAGTCAGAGACCCGATACGTACTTGACACCCCTGAAATTTCTGAGCTCAGTGAAAGTGCTCTTGATGAACTTCTTCCGTTGATGACTGTAAGGCATATTGTTAATATTGACGAGCTGTATCTTATGCTGTCTGTCCAGAGCTGCGAGGAGATTCAGAAAGATGTCTTCTTGCTTAAGTGCACATTGTCAACAGGCCAAACGGATATGGTACGCCTCGCCGTGACGCCGGTCACCAAGCTCAACCAAGTTATGATCAGGGATGAGTTGACGTTATTGAAAACGATACGGAAAACGTTTGTTGGCGAACATGCCCAATTAAATCGGCATCTACCTTTTGTCAAGGAGGTTGTTGCACTTAGAGACACATTGGCGAAGTTGAGTGTTCGTCGAAATGACGCTTTCAATGATGAAAAGGATTATGTAGCGGTTTTGTCTCAACTTGAGCCTGAAATAATTTTTCCAAATGTTTCTGAAAACGGAAATTTCATTTCCGTATTAATTAGCATTTTGGAACAGGCTAATCTCAGTATGGCAATAATGAGATCAGCGATGCCTGGAATCGCCTTATTTAGTTCCATTGCATTGGTATCGTGGCCAATTAATGTCACGTTTCAAGTGGAGGACCGTAGTATCGTTATACCAACGCATGGCGTGCTGGTCAAGCACTGCCTCGAAGTTCTTCGATTAGGAACTTCGCTGGCCGATTTTCAGTTTCTCGCGAGCGATATATTAAGAAATATTGGCATCGAGGGTGTGGGAGATAATGTTGATGTTCAGTATTGCGCCAAAATACTCTTTAGCTTGGGTGCCACTACCCCTCTAGATAAACTCATCGACTGGCGGGCTCGCTATTTTCAAGCCAAAGGCAAAAAATTACCGCACAACTATGGTAACTACAAAAAATACGCTGTACCACAATAAATTACTACATTGCAAAAAATAGGAGAATTTTTTTTTTATCTAGTCGAAACGTACGCAGTGTAGTCTATCTGTTCTTTAATTCGACAACAGTATTGTGAAACATGGATCAAATTCAGAAATTCAGCTCCGGGTTTGGAAATTAGTGCAGATAGGTCGTATCGAAAGCGGACATTACGTACGACTGATTCACCAATGAGGATTTATTTATGTATGCTGCAAAGTATCAACGCAAACGTATGAAAATTTATCGATATAGTCAAATCAACATATGGATTAAACGAAGAAGCCACCAAAGGTTTTTCTCTACGGCATCGTGGGTACCTAAAAAGTATTATATTATAATAGATAAATTGTTTTTGAGTACCAAGAGAAATGTTGGATATAATCGTTGAGCTACCTAGGCGACTCTAGCGCAATAAGTGGCAAGTAATAATTTTTTGTTCAGAAATTCATCTAATATCATGTAGCTACGTTTCCAAAAAAAAACTAGGAATATCCCAATTTTGTTTTATGAATCAAGGATTATTTCAAACAACCGCGGTAGCCTCGATCCAATGAGCTTCACTTCTGGGAACGAGGCTACTGCCACTAAGGCTGTCTGCTTTCAATCGTATTTGCTCAGCTACTCTGAGGTACTTCGCTACACGGTAAATCGTGTGATTCCATGTATGTAGCCATGAAGGAATATGTGTTTTGTGCGCACCTGATTGTTGCCGTGATTCATAGAAGTACTCAGGCAAGCGGTGAGTGCAACAACAACGATTGTTAATGTCAGATTTTACAGTCCTAAATATATACGAAGTCTCACCTGTGTTGGATGTTGGTAACATTTCAATTCCCATCTTTCCCTAAATGCAGATATAATACGACTAGAGTCACTCAGCCCAAGAATGACTGAGATCGGTCGAAAGATTGCTTTTGTCTGTAACATCTACGACGGAGAGAATCCAACGTTTACTTGGTTAAAAAATGGGAAAACACTTAAGCCTTCGGAGAGGATCAGCATCTTCAATAGTGACATAAGTTCAACATTGAACGTCAACAATGTAAAACAGAGTGATGCGGGTAACTACGTTTGTGTAGCTACAAATCGTATATCCGAAGATCGAACAGAAACCACACTAATCGTTAAAGGTTTGCATCCATTGTACCTGTTATCTAATAAATTCCCCCGTGATATTCTGTCAATAACTACATAGACTTTATTTAAGACACAAAGTGTTTACGATAAATATAGTTCTGATAAAGATTAGTAGAAGTAACGTAAACGATTAAAAAAACTTAATTCAACAAATATGTTATCACCATGAAAATTCTAACATAGTACTCATATAATCTAGCTAAACTGTATCTAACAACAGATCAAATTTGGGATGGAATTAAACTAAACTAAAACGCAATGCTAAAATGCAAATAACATTTAAATAATTTTGATCAAATTGCGTTCTCTCATATTAACTCGTTAGCTCGTTGCAAACTGAAGTAAACTTGAAAAAGTTTAGGGAAATGTTTTGGGCAGAGTGCTTTGTCTTACGCCGAGCATAGGAATTTTTAGTCCAAATAGGCGAACCTAGAAGACGAATACATGTAAAAGAACATGCAGTCTTTAAGCAGCTTTTTTAAAGTTTACTATGATGGCCGTTGTTAAGCATAAACACTAGAAATAATTTATTAAAAGTGATAAGGAATAAGTCGTCACCACTTCAGTTTTAGTTGTAGAGTTTCAAAAAAGAGCCAAAAATGTCGGGGGTAACTTTTGAGGTTACTCAGGATTGCTGTAGATGTTAATCATTTGAAAAAAGTAATCATTTTTGATCCTAGATAGCATTGAAGAAGTGAACTTGGAAAATAACCGCCTTAGTCTTGCCCCTCTTACCGCTACATCTGGGAGCAAGAAGTCGTTCTGTCAAAGAAAGCTGCGTTTTCCCTGTATCTGCTCAGTCTCTGATTGTGGAGTGTTGATGCTACCAGGCGTACTCGAGCGACCTGCCTGTCCTCTATGGAGGTTTTTATTAAAGGATATGTGTTGTGTGTATTATTTGTAATTGCTGTACTGTCGGAAAGAAATCGAGCAAACGGTGAGTTGAACGACACGATCTGTTATGGACCATACCAAACGATGCAGACTCGCTATATGTTGTGGTTGAATGAAATTCAAGGCATTGTAACTGTATTCCTTTGATTTTTTACCTGAGTATAGAGATAATCCGGTTGGAGCCATTTGCTGCCAAGACAACCGAAGTCGGTCGAAAGATAGCATTTGTCTGCAACATTTACGAGGGAGAAAATCCAACATTTACGTGGTCAAAGGATGGAAGAACGCTAAAGCCTTCAATGAGGCTCGGCATAGTTAACAATGAAATAAGCTCAATGCTAAGCATCAATAATGTTGAACAAAGCGATGCTGGCAACTACGTCTGTGTGGCAGCCAATCGTATATCTGAAGATCGAACCGGAAACATTCTTATTGTAAAAGGTTAATCGATATGAAAACTGTAGACGATAATGTTAATAACAAGTATCGTTTATGGCGCATATGTCTAGAAGGTACGTGTTCTTACAATCAGATAGCAATGGGACGTCGTCCAACTCCACTAGACAAATCAAAGAACGTCAATCAACATTCTAGTAAAACTATTTTATCCCATGCGACACATAAATGACCTATTATTTTTTTTTTAATTTTCAAAACCATTTATCCAATAGGCGATGGCTAACATACCCGACATTAAACATAGGCAATAAAAATAGTTAAAAAGACATAAATGGCCAGGGTTGTCACTTGTAAATTCAACTCAAATGAATTTGGTTTACTTAATCAAAACATAAGGCTTTCGCATAGAAGACTTCTTTGATTTTTGCTAGCTTTAATTTCACGTATTCTTTAACGTCTTTAAAGTACAACACTTACAATGTATGAATTACGTTTGCCGCGTTCAGTGAGAGTTCGAAATTAAATTTTAGCGGGGTAGTCTTGTAGCCAACCTAATGGGGAAAAAAGCCAGCTGGGAAAGAGAGTACCTCTCTGATACCTTTCCGCCCAAAAGAGTCGTACCACTTAACTGTTACAGTGCGTAACGATAAAAAGTCTTTATTTATTTTCGATAGCAGTATGTACACCTGGACGTTACAAGTGACTTTCTATTTGGTGGCGAAAAGTGCACTATTTCGAATGCCAACTGCATTGGCTAGTGAGTGTTTTGCAAGTAGACCTGTAATGGCTAATCTACCTGAAGACTTCTATGTGCAATCTGCGTTTATAGAAAAAATTGATGCTTCCTCGTTCTATCTTAGCTATTTAGCTCAACAAAAGGTATTTTATTAGAGTTTAGTACAACTGCTAAGTAGACCCTTTCTACGAATTCTATACAGACGACGTCGCGCTGAAGTCTCCACAAACAGAGAGCACTTTTGTGGGTAATTCGGTTGTCCTGACATGTAGCCTTATTCGAGGTAAAGACGTCTCTTTTTCGTGGATAAAAGATGGCATTCTGATTGAACGCAATCAACGTGTCGACGTGGAAAGTGTACGAAAGTCTTCAACGCTTTCGATTGAGCGTGTCGAGGCTCGAGACGCCGGCACCTACACTTGCATTGCGGCCAATGCCGCCGCTGAGGCCAGAACATCGACAACGCTTATTATAAATGGTACTGTTGGTAGTGTTGTCTTTATGCTGGACATCGTTACGTCAGTCGTAATTTTCCGCTTTTTTGTGACTCTGTATTACATGGTAGTACCTAAAATAATATGATATGATGCTAAGCGTTCATGTGTCGATGCTGAAACGAACATGTCTGAAGCCTCGTTCGACGATGGATGTGTTCTTGGTCGCATTCGCACGCGCATACTAGTGATATGGCATGCATTTAACGTGCTTTCAGTTGGCTTTTCAAATTGCCTTCGCATGATATCTACTCATAGATATCCCTAATGGTAGGTGGTAGCTTTACCATGTATCATCTTTTCGAATAGACTAATTTTAGTCTAAAGTTTTGCCGTATCGTTCATGAAGGGTCTTGTTATTATATCTGTTTGAGACAACTGCCATGCCGAATACTATACATGCATTTCATAAATTGATAATGTATACCAAAATGTATACGTTGCACCTGTCAAAACGATATACCAAATATAAGATGCAATGCTAGCTGCACATTGAGTAAGCTGAGCCATCCTATCCAACTAAATTGGTTAGATCTAACTATTCTAGTTAAGAAAACAAAGAAACGTTTCAGTTTGGTACGCCGTAGCAACTTAATAACTACCATACATAGTAGATGAACAAATAGTCATCTATTAAAAACCCATTCTTCAATTTCGCTTGAGATTATCGGTGCCAAATCTTTGTCATCACCCGTAAGCTTCGCCTAACAAGCTGAATGACGCTTTAACAACAAAGGCACTACAAACGAGAGTATGTTTGCTTAATCTTACCCTACAACGCATTTTAGTTGGCTGTAGAGCTGCGCTTGCCTCGAGATGCCCCGTTTGAATAGAATATCTATTCTGATACAGTAATTAGTCTCCCTTGCGGTCTGTTAAGTCAACTTAAGGGCTGACTAGACGTGGTCAAATTTTTCTAAAACACTTTGCTCTTGCATTATTATACTTCTGGGCTAGTTGTAAAGGATGTTACATATTTTATATAAGCGTCGAGCTAGACGACAACGACTTCTTTTTTATCTTAGGATTTTTGTTATTTGGGAAAGGGATACATGGATAGGTACGTATTTCGTATACATACGTTTTTTTTATCTGTTTGAGAACATTTTGTTCATCCCTCCTCGAAGAAATGACATAGGCGAAGATAGAAGTTCGCTGATCCACTCCCTCTAATTAGCAACTCAGAGAAGATTGTGATACCATGCTTCCCTGGATTCAAGATAGACCTTCCTGTAGCTGACGACAATATGTAGCTGAAAAAAAAAGAACAGGTTGATTCCAACCATGTCCATTTGTACACAGAATCCGACTTATGTCGTGAATGGCAAATCAAGACAGATTAATACCTAACTGAAGATATCGAACAATGTGTAAGATAAAAAAATATCGCGTAAATCCATTTTGATTACTAACTATATTTTTTTTTGTTTCTAAGTAAATAAAATTCTGTCAATCTATTACACTAATAGTTAACCGTTAAGATAAGCAAACTCGTGATGAATGGGACTCTTATTCACTTATATCTGCACCACACGTCCTAACAATGTTCAAACTTTACCGCCGAAATCTCCTTCCGTCTGATTCGGCTATTTCTAACGAGGCTTTATCATTGAACAAGTGCCTATTGAAAAGGAATGCCCTGCTCTGATCGTAATTGTAGCTACTGCAGGCATTGCTAGTACTTGCCAGCTGATGTGAGTGTTTTGTCGGTCCAATCAAGGTCATTAGATGGCCATGGCGGTTAAACTAAGCACTTATTGGATACTTTTGTTTCAATTTTCTCTTCTGTCTCACTGCTACTTAGCAGGTAAGTTCGATTGACTGAGGCCAATGAATCATACAAGCGAACATACATGCGATAAGCGAAGTTTATTGGTCACTTCAGATTACTCCAATGTCATAGTGGAAAAAATGTTGCCGAAGCTAACAACGGTTGGCAGTTCAACGTATTTCGCCTGCAGTGCCTTGCAAGGCAAAAACGTACAATTTTCATGGACGAAAAACGGTCTGTTGCTTAAGCCAGACGCCGACAGTCGTATAGAGATTATGAATACGCGAAAAGTATCTACTCTTTCTATCGATGATGTTTTGTGGGATGATCGGGGAGAATATACCTGTGTGGCTAATAATGACGGGACTGAAGATCGAACCTCAGCTGTGCTTACTGTTCAAGGTAAAATTTTATTAAAACTTAAAAAGCTGCGATTGCAGTCACTTTTATTAACTTTTCATTAATAACAACTAAATTATGCTCACTCATTGGGATTGAAGGTGTGGGATATCTTGGAGGTGAAAATTAATGAATGAAGTATCTGTATAATCTACATATGTTGTCACTTTTGTTTGATGGACCACAGTAAGTGCTGAAATTGCTTGATTTGACAAATTGCTTCCACATTATTTTTATATAATTTAGAAATGGAAAGATTCTCAAAAATCGTCTCCCTATTGACCTTTAAATAAGGGAGTTTTTGCATCGCTAACTCTAGGCGTACACATTAGAAAAAATGAATTAAAAGGCTCGAAGAGTGTAGATGAATTGAGTTCGTATGTGTTTTATTAGCTTGTTTACACGAAATCATATTTTCACACCTGACTGGGATGTTTTTCGTGGCAATGCAAACAAATTCGAATTCAAATAAACATGCACACAATCAAAATTACCTATAACGACTGCCTCAGTGGGCCTATCTGTCAAGTAACATCGTGCATTAATCACCTGAAAGCCAAAGACCTGAAACGGGCAGCAAGCAAAGTAGATATAACCACTGAAATGAAATCCATACAACGGGACGAACACTGTAGTTTGCGCATTTAAAATAATTGCGCGTTAGCCTCGTTCTCGTGGATCGACTACCTAGATCCTGATTACGTTTGTCAGATTAGCCAAATCTGTTTCAGCTGTCTGCCAGTTAAACAGTGGACGTTCTAGGACCAAGTATGTTATTCTCGTGTCGAACACTCTGCTGTAATTATCAATATCGTGTTAAATATCGTGATTATGTTTATGTTGTGCTAGCTTATATTATCGCATGGACGGCTTTCGGGGAAGTTGTAAACGCGAACCTCGGTAAGTTTTTCTTTTATGAAATCCCTTGAAGCATAGTGAAATGAACAATGTATTAAAGATACCAAATTCATTATTATAACTATGACTAAAAACAGCCACTACTCAAGCGAAACGTCGGATTTGTATTTTTTAGATCGCATTAAAATTGAACCGTTGCGATCGAAGCAGTCGACAGCTGGCAAACGAATTGCATTTACATGTAACGCCATCGAAGGAAACCATGTTCGATTTTCATGGACGAAAAATGGAAAAGTGATTTATCCCGGAGCACGAATTAGCATCATGTCCGGCGATGAGATGTCGGCGTTAACAATTAAAAGTGTCAACACAAACGACAGTGGAGAATACACCTGTATCGCCAGTAATGATGCCTCCGAAGATCGAAGTTCAGCTAAACTAATAGTTGAAGGTAACAGTTTATATAGAAAAAGTTGTATTAAAATGGGCTTAGTTAAACGACATCGTTATAATAAGAATTAATTATTAGCTTTGACCTGCAGGTTGATCACAGTTGGTTCCATTAAGATTATTATAAAAGAAAAACATACGAATTTTCAACATATGTATGCAGGGTGTCATACACTGTTTTTACGACTCCCTGTTTGCTCAATAAGATTATTAGAATGTTGAATTAAAACGACCGCTGCAGTTTTCAGTAGTCCAGTGTTGTCGTCGAAGTTATTGTTTAACGGCGTTCTAAATTTTGCTCTTTTTTTTTTATAATAAATTATTTTAGACGTTCATTGCTCATGAGCGTATAATCTCATACACAAAGTGTGAACTCATTCGAGGTTGGCCGTCTAACGAACCAGTCAGCACTTGTCTTGAGCTGTATTCGATCTCATAATAAGCAAGTCAGGCTCTGGCCTGAAGGTCGTCAGTAAATTCATCATATCCAATGATAGACTCCATCAGCTAAACCTAAAGCCTGCTTAAAATGACAGTATTTCCGTAAAAATCGTATGTCGAAATCTATGTGTCTCGGAGAAATACATTTTACATGAATGTTTCATATACACTTCTAAATAACTGTCCGTTCATAATTCGCGCGGTAATCTCGCTTTCGTTGATGGAACCATGGTGGTGAGACTATTTCGATCAACACGGGTACTATATACATTCTGTCAGTTTTAAAGCTGATGATGTCGACCAGTCATTTACAAGCCTCCCAAAAACGCTGTTATGTTGTGCCTGAATCGAGCAATGCACCGTTGTCGGTTTTTTTGCCTTAGGAAGAAGGCTCGTGTTCACATGTTTGTGGTTTGCGTGTTTGTATGGATAATCCTAATTTGCACCGTTAACGCTGGCCTTGGTAAGATTCATTTCTATATCGGTGTACTCGAACATAACGGGCTTATTTATATACGAAAACTACGAAACATAGTCATAACTGGAAATTGCAAGCAACGTGTTCATTTTATTTTCTACAATATAATAGATCGGGTAAAAATTGAGCCACTTCGATCGAAGCAATTGATGACTGGGAAACGTGTAGCATTTACATGCAACGCTCTTGAAGGAGAACAGGTCAGGTTTTCCTGGACAAAAAACGGAAAAATCATCCATCCAGGAGGAAGGATAGGAATTGTATCAGTTGATGAAACGTCAACGTTTACGATCAAAAGTGTCAGTGCGGAAGACAGCGGGGAGTATACCTGCATCGCGAGTAATTATGTCTCCGAGGATAGGAGTTCAGCTAAGTTGATGGTTGAAGGTACCGATCAACATTATATTACCACGTTTTGTAAGGGCAGTTTTATATTCAATTTAGTTGATTCTTTTTTTCTGAACAGGAGCCAATTGCCCAGTCAGAACTATTCGTATACATTTTTGTTTACCTCTAACATAAATAAGTTTTTTATAAAAATATAAAAAATAAACTTGCTGTAAATAAAATTGTTTGGATAAACTGAGCGTAACGGACTGAATGCAAAGATATAAACATATAACGATAAGATAATTTGATCACACAGACATACGTTCTATTCGGCAATAGGAACCGTCGTTGATAAAGATGATATAACGTAGTAAAAAAAAATGAGCGTGTTATGATGAAACGTTGTCATCGATTCATGCCAACTTCATTATTGTCAGGCACAGTTTTTTTTCGTTTGAAGGACGTTAACCCTGTGACATGGTCCTGCCATTCGGGTCTTTGTACTTGAGTAAGCGCGCGCTATTCTCGTCCTTGATTGTCGAAGCTCTCGTTCCAAGAGTTTGTGTTGCCTTCATCTATTAGAATCGATTTAGAAATGACCGTTCCCAGTCAAACGTGTTAAGCGTCGCAGCTGTTATTATGTTGCTCCTGGATCAAGTCTATTATCTTCTTTACGATCCCGTTAGAAACAGTCCTACTTTATATATTGTAATATTGCATTTATTCGTGTGGATTTTTTCAAGCGACGCTTCCACCCCAGGACTCGGTAAGATCGCGTTTAATTTTAGTATAAATAAATCATCCCCAGAACGTAAGGCGAAAAAGTAAAAGTGATATGCTTCAAATGATTCGGATCCGTATTTTAGCGAGTCCTATTCTGTTGAAATAAGGATTCTAGATCGTGTAAAAACGGAGCCGTTTAGAGCACAAGACAGGACGATCGGCAAACGTATGGTGTTTGTACGTAACACCCTCGAAGGTGAACAAGTCGTTTTCGTGGATGAAAAATTGAAAAATCATTTATATTTATATATAATTGTCTCCACTGAAGGAACATCTACCTTTGCAATTAGAAGTGTGACCGCTGAAGATTGTGAGAAGTACACTTGTTTGGTAAGTAGCGATGTATCAACAGATCGAAATTCAGCTAAATTCAGAGCCGAAGGTGAAGAAAATTTTCCAGATATAAATAAGATATAAATATTTCGATATAATTTCTACTGGCTACAGAAACTTTTCCAAATTCTGATATTACAAGCAAATTAATCCAGAATTGTATTGTTTTTTAGAAAATAATCGTAAGACAAGTTTTAATTTTTAATTATAAACTTCTTCTTGCAACATACTTCGTGGCACCTCAGGCCATCAATGGGACCTCCTGATAATCAAATATTAGTATACATTGTCTACGCTATCTCCTCGCATTATATAATGTACAAGATGCAACTGAAGATCGGGTAGAATATTATGCGTTCAATAACAACAATAATTTGTATGATTAATTGGCAAGAGTCACCGAAACAATTGCGCCATCTTATTTATACCTAAATTGAATGAGCCTGCGATACTCTTGTTCACTCTGACAGGTTACTTGTGTCGAGAGTATCGTGCTACATATGATGTTCGAATCTTACTGCTCCTAGCCAGTTATGACTCAGGCGTTTTGGAACTCAAAATGCGATTCCTACACCCGCAATTACATCATTGTCCTACCCTTGTGAAATGCCGTTGTTCCGTCCTGTACTTTTTAGTGTTCGTGTTGTGGCAATTTATTGCTTTAGGAGTTACCGCAAATTCCAAACCGGGTAAGAATATTTTTATGAGAATTTGATTAAGAACGAACGACTTTATCGCACTGATGCTAAACGAGCCCAATCATTATAGCATTAACTTCAGAAACGTTATAAATTCCAAAAATGTATTTACACTTTTAGATCGAGTCAAAATCGAGCCACTTAGATCGAAGGAAGCGATAATTGGAAGGCGCGTCGCGTTCACCTGTAACGCCTTTGAAGGCGAGCTAGTTCGGTTTTCCTGGACGAAAAATGGGAAAATTATTTACCCTGGGGGTAGGATGACTATTTTATCTGGTGCAGAAACGTCGACATTCACAATTAGAAGTGTTACCAGTGGTGACAGTGGCGAGTACACATGTATTGCCAATAACGATGTATCGGAGGATCGAAGTTCAGCTAAATTGATGGTTCAGGGTAACGTGGCACTCAAATATAAGATTTATAAAAATAGGAAACTTATATAAATACCTTGTGTTATTGACACATGCTGTCTCGGTATATGAAAGAACCAGATAGGTTCAGCGGTGGCTGTTGGTGGTTGTTCTAGCACATCATAATGCTTAGTGTGTACAAAATGGAACACTCGACATTTACTAGCTTATCCATTGAGTGTAGGGTACTTGCGCGATAAATAAAAAAGTATCATAAGCTTAGTGCTTAATGTTAATAGATGTATAATTCTCCCTGCGCCATTATTTTTGAACAACACAGAAATCAAAGCACGATGTTGTTTGCAACAGTATGACATCGTTCCGCTTGAATTTAATAGCTTTATGTAATTAAATTTATAATTAATTTAATTATAATTAAGACATTTAAAATATCTCAGTTATTAATGGCTTTTAATTGGTGTCCAAGAAAATAAGTACGCAAAAATTAGTTTATTCTAAGCCCATTTCAACTAGGCAGCGAAGAAAATTAAATTATTGTGCGTAGGTCTTAGTTTCAGAGTTTTCAGATAAGGCTTTCATCTGTTTGCCTGACGGACCAGGACCCTCTGTTCCGCGTTTCTTATCAATAACGTTTTAAATGTAAACGCTTTTACTAGATTTAATTTTTTGATGCCCGATTATTAATGTTTCTGTCTGTCACATTATAACGTGGTCTTGGAAGGGCTTCGCATCGAACCGTTGAGTTCGAACTGATCCGAAGTTGATTGACGCCTTATGCTCACCTGCAATACCTGTGAAGGCGATGCGACAAAATTCGATTGGACAAAAAAACACGAAAATTATTCGGTCAGGCGGAAGACTGGATGTTCATATTGCAGACGGTGAAACTTTACCACCAATTGAGACCACAAAGTGTTACAACAAGAAATAGGAAAGATTATATTTGTGCAGCGAGCAAATACGCAGTAATTTCGAACGTGCACTATTCGCCTATTAATAAATTGTAGATTATTCTTGGGGTAATTGTAAATTATGGGGTTCACAAATATGTGTCTTAGTTCAGTTTGTCAGTACTCCATACGGCCGATTTTACTAGAACAACGGAACATCTTGAATTGACATCAAGTCATGTGAATGGGAGATGCGTTCGATGGTAGCTGGAGCAAAAGCGGGCGTTCATATATTGCAATCATGTTTTAGTTGAGTATTCTAAATGCAAGAATTTTTATTGCTACTAGTATCACAGCTCTGCCAAATCAATCTTGATAGTAAAAATAACCATCATAAACCGTGCACAGCAATTAAATAAATCGTAAATGTGATTTTTTTTGCATCACTATTGTGTCGTACTCTTACGCTATCCAGGAATACACCCCAGCTGTCTAACCAGCTTCTCTTAAGCCAGTCGTTACTAAAGCCTACACAAAACAGCATGGGGAACCTTAAGTCCTTATAGCCTTAGATTAATAAACACACGTTTTTACAATTTTACACAGTTTTAACTTGGGTTGTAGGTAAGCAAAATTATTTTAACGTATTTGTTACTGCTATTACTATTGCATCCATTATACAAATAAGATTAATATTAGCTGCGCACTTAAGGAAGTACCATTACCTGAGGAGTGCTACGCGCTTAAACTTGCCGACATCATGAACTGCTTTTCGGTTTGAATTTCCCTCCGAAGCCTCTTGGCGAGCTTAATTGAGGATGCTAACGAGGCTACACTGAACCGGCACATTCGTTTCTCTCCAGCGCAAACACTTAGCCAGCATTCTCCAAGACGCCGTTCGGTGCCCACTGAAACAGTTTTTGTGCTAAGTAGCTAACTGTTGGACAACTTGGGTGAATGTTATTATATGTTATTAAGGATGCTGTGGACTATATGTATGACATTTCTGTCGTTTATTTGTTATTCGTCATCGGTATCAGCTATAGGTAAGATATTAGATTAACCTTGTTCTCGGCCTGATGTGTTTCACGTAAGGTATCCGATAATATTCGAACTATTACCGAACTTTATATATTTTGATTATTATGATTAACGCTTTTAATGGTGGATATACAAACTCACCCAATAAACGGTATTATTTCCATACGTAGAACGGGTGCGAATAGATCAGCTTGGGTCAAAGAAGGTTTTCGTTGGTAAACGTGTCACGTTTACCTGCAGTCCATACCAAGGTGACAATGTTCGATTTCTATGGACGTACAATGAGAGGATTCTTCGCCCTGGGGGACGATTTGTTATTGCAACATCTGCGGAAAATTCAATCCTCACTGTTAAAAACCTATCTAGTCAAGACAGCGGTAATTATACCTGCATAGCGAGCAACAAAGTCTCCGAAGATAGAAGCACGGCTTCTCTACTTGTGCAAGGTTCTCATACCTTCTTAAAGAGCTCTAATAACAAATTTGCTCTAGATTTTGATATATATCAAAACCGCTAAGGACTGACATAGGTAAAAGCTAGTAAAAAAAAAAAAAAAAAAAAAGATGAATATAAAAGAACCAGGCCCTTTATAACTCTTCTAAGCAAATATATAGTACACTTATTACTAGCAATAATAAAAAATAATTATTATTATTTTTTAAGAATATCTATTCGTCATCTGCCACAATATTTAGTTCGATAATAATCAACCATGGTGCCAGAAAAAAATTAATTCCATAATTAATGCTGTTACGCCACTAAGACGGTCTTCTATAGTGCTGATTAGGGGAATGGCCAACAATAGTAATCAGTGTGAAATAGTGACGTAACGTGACAGCACAAGGATATGGACATTGTTCCTTTTGACACGTGCTTGAGTCCAGGAAGTTTTATTACTGTTATCACACACTAATTGAGTCAATAAGCGGAAGTGTCTCGTTTAAGCTTGATTTTGAAACTATGTTGAACAACTGCATATTCTTATCACTGTTAGCATTGCTTATTTGACAGGTCCCATCGGTCTACACGGCATTTAAAAAACTAGTGATTAAGGTATATGATTACCTTACAAAACCCGCATTGCCCTGGATGGATCATTCTTACTGAATTTTGCTTTGGGTTAAATGCTCTTTAACGGCGCCCAGTAACAACTTCGTAAAGCGCTAACTTTTGTCTTATATATTGTTATAATAAAATTGGCTGAACGCGCTTTACTCTCGTCCACCAGGTCAGGCCTCCTGTATCGCGAATATTCAACCTAACATTATACCAGTTATCACTCCAAGCAATAGTGTTTCGTTCAGTCTTGCTCTGAATTTTTGGGCTAGCGTCAATAACGTGCTTCTTGGGGCGAGATATGGGTCGCTGTGCCACTTGCATGAACTACACTGATACTACCTTATAGCGATCTACTTGTGCAAGTAAATACTTAGGCAGATGCCGACAGCGCTGGTCTCAGTAAGAATGTCTGTGTAAATAAATACACAGTTATGGGATTCAATTTATGAGAATTTGGGTAACATAGAATATAACCTACAACATGGTGTATTTTTATTTTTGCATAGCAACCAAAATTGGATCGCTATGATCGAAGGAAGCAATAGTCAGAAGAGTGCATCGCGTTTGAAGATGAATAGGTTTAGTCTTCCTGGACGAAAAACGGCGAAGTTATCTACCCTGGACATAGAATAGGTCTTCTATCCGGAGAGGAAACATCGATGTTTACAATTAAAAGTGTCACTACCGACGACAGTGGCGAGGACAGTTGTATTGCCTGTAACGACGTATCTGAAGATCGAAGTTCGGCTATATTGATAGTTTAAGCTAATGGTCGGACTAAAGGCTTGATTTTTACATGTTGTCCATAATCCCTTAGCCATCGAAATCGTTTCTAAAAATTTACACCTATTGACATTCTTGTGCTGGGAGATAAACTGTAAAATTTGCAGAACATAATAGCATATTAGCTTTTTAATATTTTTTGGCAGTGATGTATGTGTCGAAACAGCCTAGCTAGCTGAAGTGCTTTTGATTTCAGTAAAATGAAAGGGTACGCCTGATTCGCAGCACTGAGTGTAGCAAGATTGAATTACACAACTTAACAAAGCAGTTTATACCTTACTCATTATTTCGAATCTATGCGCTTTGGCTTTTTCTTCGAGTCCGTTCAACCTGTTTTGACAATAGTGCAACTAACAGGTTTGTGTAAAGTTTCAACATGACAACGAGTTTTAAGCGCTGGTCGTTGGCTTGATTATCCATAGTCACAATTCATTTATAGTGCTTCTTCATAGTGCTGCAGAAGTAAAGCGTGTTTGTCAGTAAATGTCACAGAGGAATTAGGCGTTGAAGTTATAGCAGCCTGAGACTTCGTTGGGGTAACCCAATTATGAATTTCGCGCCAACGTCTCGTTACTAGTCGCGGCGGTTGTCATGGAACAAGGCTTCTTCGAATGCTTTATTCCCGAAATCGTCCCTATGGCGCTTCGTTCAGAACTGGTTTATTTATCAGTTGTCCGAACAGGGTGCCATGTGATGGAATAATAATTTTCCCACAGTAATAATATATGTACACCTGATTGGTGATATTAATGTGTCCTACCTAGACGTTTAAGTGTTTGGTTCACCGCAAACAGTGATGAAGCAGATTTTCGTTATACTATTAGTCGCTTATTTGGCTTCAGCCTCGGGTAAGTGCAATTTACCTTGTAATGTTTGTTTACTGACCTTTAGCGCAGGTGTGCATATCTGCCTGTACCGTAATTGGTAAGAAAGTGTTCGCTTTTCGTATCCATTTTGCATTTTAGAGCGAATTCTTATCGAACCACTAAGCTCAAAACGATCTGAGATTGGACGCCGTGTAGTTTTCAATTGTAATGTTTATCATGGCGACGCAGCGAAATTCGTTTGGACCAAAAATGGAAAAATTATCAACCCAGAAAGTGGAAAAGTCGGGGTTCATACTGTGCACGGTGAAACCTCAACGTTGACACTGAAAAGTGTTACGGCAGAAGACAGCGGGAATTATACATGTATAGCGAGCAATTCTGTGTCAGAGGGGCGAAGCACAGCAGCACTCGTTGTCGAAGGTGGACCCAATATGTATTTTGTCCCATTTTTAATTTAAGAGGATAAATTTCTTACTGACTTTAGTGTCCCACAATATATATTCAAACGTCGAAAATAATGATAGTTGCTATAATGATTATACATTTA